TTTTTTTCTGACAGTCTTTTCAAACGAGGCATTAAAGAGAGTCTAACTTTTCTTTATTTACGTGTGCTTTGCTTGACTTCAAATTCAAGGAGACTGTGAGAAAATAGATTTTTTTTTTAAGATTTCCTAAAATCTCCAGGAAGTGAAAGTCTAACATTTCAGAAAATTGTGACTGTGGGCTTCTTTTCCCAGTCTCATTCTGCCTGTGACACCCCACGCCACCTGGGTCTAATTGCCACTGCTACTCCTCGGGTGTTGAATCCAAAGGGTCATCTACCGAGCTCAATCAAACCTCTTCCACTTTCTGGTAGATATGGGAGTGTGTGGTGTGTTCTGTACAATTCACACTGCTGATGGCACTCAGTAAATTATAAATAAAGAATAAACCTGCTTCTGCCAGCATTTGGGGAAACAAGCCACTTTCCAGGCTGCAAATCAAGATGGTTACTGCCGTGCTCACAGTTTCCCAAAACACACTGACGTGTCATCTGCCAAGGAAACTGGGAGGAGTTATCTGTGCTTTACAAGGCCAGATTATCCCCTACCTTTGCTAGACATATACAGTCTGCTGAGAGTAGGTCATAGTTCTCTGGGTACCGAATCAGCAGTCCTACACGGAATAATTTCAAGTGCTCTGTCCTGGGAAGGAGATTTTGGTTCAAAAGAAAAAATGGTAACACAAGTTGATGTCTACTGTTTAAGCAATCCTCTGTGCTGATTCAGTCATATTCTTTTTCAGTAGTTTCTCACCATACAGTGAGAAACTAGACTGTCAATTGCTCTTTGCTTTTAAAATCAGAAATGGTAAGATTTCTTTCAAATTCATCTTTCTGTTAAGCTCATGGTACTATCAAAATCACACTTATCACTGTAAGTGGAATATTATGAAAATGGTACTCGATATTAGCACATTTTTAACCCAGGTTATTAACAGAATCATAGATGTAGAATACTTTAATACATTAATGTAAATGACAGACATTATACAATTTTCAGTGTGTCTTTAAAATTGGAAGACAGGGGATTTAGCTCAGCATCGGGACAAGCACCTGCCTGGCAAGCACAAGGTCATGAGTTTGATCCTCAGTACAAATAAAATAAAATAAAATAAAATAAAATAAAATAAAATAAAATTTGAATTGTGTTTCATTGAAAGGTAGGAAAAAGCTAATAGTTTAAATCTGTTCTAGGACAATTGCTCTTAAACTTGCATATCATAGTCAACTTCAGAATTTTGAGAAGAAGATGGGTACCTGAGTCCTATCATAAACCTGTGGGAACAGATCTTTAAATATATATGCTGCTCCTTAAGACTTTTAAAAAGCTCTAAAATAGATACTGTTGTTAAACGAGGTTTAAGGACTACCCTTGCAAACCACAGAGGCTATTTCAAAATCAGACAACAAGCCAACTTCTTTTTTTTTTTTTTTTTTTTTTTTTTTTTTTGAGACAGTGTCATTCTGTGTAGTTCAAGCTGGTTTTGAATTTACTATGTAGTCCAGCCTGGTCTTAAATTCAATGAATCCTCTTGCCTTGGCCTACTGAATCCTTCAGTTATAGGAATGTGCTACCAGATCTGGCAATAAGCCAACTTTTGCTATCCTGTCATTAAGAGATTTTACTGTTGCTTCTTTTAATATAAACATAGTAAAAAAATTTCACATATTTAAATTGAATTGAAGCTACATCAAGAGCCTTCAATCTGAATTTTAATTGGAAATGACAACTATGTATCTTTTGTTTCAAATGATGTGATTTAAGGTATGCGAAAGGATGAAATTGGATATTTGCTTTATACCATATATAAAAATTAACTCAAAATTGTTCAGAGCCCTAAGTGTAAGAACTAGTCACAAAGATTTCCTGGATGTGACACAAAAAGCAAAGGTAAAAAAGTAAAAATACCTAGTAAAAAATATGCACTTTCCCGATACTCACTGGCACGCTCCCATATTCTGTAAGAAGAGGTAAGCAAGAGCATAGAAAGTACATGTAAGAAACACTCATCTCATATGTAGAAGTGAAAACTTTCTGTGAAGAGTCTTGTGGAATTTTTAAGTTGGCAACCAACTGAAGTATGGACAAATTAGCCAGCTGCACCTGTGGTGAGCAAGTGACTATTTTGCTTATTTATTTCTCACAGTTGCTAATGTCCAGTGTACATTTTGTAATTCTTTTCTGTTTTGAGTCAGTAAGAGAGAGCTCACTGTCCACTGAAGGTTTCAGTTGGAAATAGCCTCGTACATATGAAATAGAGCACCAATTACTGTTCATCAGAGAGTTAAACCCTATGTGTTACAGACTCAAGCCACAGAAAGAAAAAGCAATTTATGAGATGGAAGAAAACATTTTCAAATTATATGCCAGATAGAGAGTTAGTGCCCAGAATATTTAAAGAATGCCTGCAACTCAGCAATATAAAGCAAAACAACTTAAAATAGGGCAAATAATTTGAATAGATTTTTTTCCGAAAATGATACATTTGTTCAAAAATCACTAATCATTAAAGAAATGCAAATATAAAACACAAGAGAATATCACCTATTAGGATGACTATTATAAAAGAAAAGTAAATAGCAAGTATTGGTGACAATGTGCTGAAAGCGGAACTTTGTGCAATGTTGGAAATGTAAAATGGTTACTTCACAAAACAGTATGACAGTCCCTCAAAACAAATGAAAAAAAAAAAAAAAAACAGAACTACTGTATGACTAAGCAATTCTAATTCTGAATATATAAGCAAAAGAAATGAAAGCATCTTTAAGAGATTTTGCACAACTGTGTTTACAGTAACAGGGTTTGTGACAATCAAGAGGTGGAAGCAATCTAAGTTGCTATCAATAGATGAATAAATGTATTTATTTGTACAGTGGGATTTTGTGCAGTCTTAAAAGGAAGAAGATTCTGATTTGTGCTACTCCTCAGGTGAATCTTGAAACTGTGCTTAATTAAATATACTAGTCACAAGAAGTCAAATGTTGTCATGGATACAAAATATCTAAAGAAGCCAAACCCATAAAAATAGGAACAGAATGGTCTGCAAGCACAGGAGAGAAAGAAATAGGATGTTTTTTAGTAAATAGTTTCTGTCTTGAAAAAGTCACAGAGCTTTGCTGTACGATGATGTATTTGCCTCACTGAACTGCATATTAGAAATGTTTTTGATTGTAAATTTATGTTAGGTATTTTAAAATCACTATTTAGAAAAATATACAAGTTAGGAAGTTTGCTGTAAAGTAAATTTTGACTAAGTGACTTTAACAACTCCACTAATTTACCATTATGAAATCAGAAAATAGTAAGTAATGTGGACTATGAAAACAATAAATGAAACTACTAGCAAGCATTTAAAATAACATAAAAAACAGGAAATTACAACTTTCTAGTATTCAAAATGCTTAGCATATGCATATAAACTTTTATAAGTGATACTATTGTAATTACTGCATTAAAATTAATACCATAATTTGTCATAAATATAAAATATACTGTTAGAATATTTAAATGTATAGTTTTATACTGTTTTAAATTTTTATTAAAAATATATAGCCACATACAATTTCAAGAGATTTATACCTCAAATGTAATTTCCCTCTCATTTTTACTGGGGATGGATATAGCCAGTTACCCAATATCTAGGTCTTTTTTTTTTTTTTTTTTTTTTTTTTTTTTTTTTTTTTTGTACTTGGGTATCAAACTCTGGACCTTGCATTTGCCAGGCAGGCACTTAACACTGTTGAGCAAAACCCCTGGCCAATAACTAGCTCTTTTCTGAGGAGCACAAGCTTATTACCATATTCTATGTGGAGAAGTCAATAAGAATATATGAAACCTATATGAGGAACATTCAGCTCATATTTAGAAGTAAAAGTTTTCTCTAATGAGTTTTATGACATTAGATAAGCAAATCACTGAAGTATTAATAAATTAGTGTATTATGCCTATCCCAAACAAAAAGCTGTTCTATCTATTTATTTCACATAGTAGCTGATACTCAGTATATACGTCGAAGTTCTATTTTGTTTTGAGCTAGGAAAAAAGAACTTACTACACAATAAAAACTACAGCTTCTGTCATTGGAAATAACCTAATACACATGACATAGAATCCAAGTTCTGCACACTTTAATTGTAAATTCCTCTTTAGACAACACTTATAAAAACTGCTTAAATGCAGAATTGAATTTGAATAAAAATTAAATGCTAAATTTAACTTTTGTAAAACTTAGAAATCTTTAGTGTACACACAAACAAAAATATGGAAAATGGTTTACAGATGAAATACTTGAATCATCTGCATTTGTTAAACTTTTATTAGTAGTGCAAGAGCAGGGAAATAATACATTTATTGAATGATTTTATACTTAAAGAAGACAATATTATTTATACTTAAAGAAGATTTAATATTATTTATACTTAAATAAGGCAATATTATTTTTTAATTTAGGTATTCTTAGGTTACTTAGCTAGAGAAATAAAGGTTTAAAAGAGTATGCAATTAACTCCAAACAAACCAATTCACATGTATAAGAGCCCAGATTTAAAAATGGTTCTCTTGACCCCAAAATCTTTTGCTTTTAAATTTTATAGGCATTATGTTTTTCTCAGTATTATTGCGTTTTTCCTTATGATTTCAAGTGAGTGGCAGAAAAGTTACTCTAGAGGTATATGCTACATTTGGTGAACTTTGGGAAGATAAATCCTAAACTGAATTTTCAGATATGTGTTTACTATATCTTGAGGAAAATTGTGACATTGAAAAATGAAGTATTTTATTTTAAAGTCTGCAAACTAAAATCCTTAGAAATAAATGTCTTTTAGTGAGTTATCAAGCCTAGGCTATTTTGTCACAGCAATTCTAACAAACTGGAACAGTCACCATTTTTACAAATGAGAGCTATCTTTAAGTGGCACTACGATGAGAATGCCAAAGATCTAAATTAGTAAAGGCAGCTTAACAATTGAAAACAGAATCTGAGCAAATAGAAAAGCAAGGCTTACCTGAAATGTGTCAAGTGTCTCTGGATGTCAAGGTCTAGAATTGGAGTGGGTCTGGACGACCCTAAAGGTGATCTATCTTGGCTCAGGAGATCTTGGAATTCTTTACAAATTTGTCTAAAGTAAAAGATACAAAATTGCATTTGAGGTTTTAAAATGAGGCTGTAATTTCATGGCATGATATTTTACCAACATTTATTCTCTCTTTCAAAAAAGGACAAGAAAAAAAAAATTCATCTAGCAACCTCTGAGATTTCATCCATAGTATGCACTTGAGGTTTACCATGGTAACTTTGCCTGGAGAATTATAGTAAGATCATAAAGCACCATAAACAAATAATGATCCCTGGGTACCAACAAAACCAATCTTCATGTTTGAAGAGGATAGTCATAGATTAATTTCAGTTTAAAAAATAATTCAAAGAAAGGATTATACAAATTTCTCTTTAAATTATTAGAATGCAATGTTTAAGAGCATCAGATCTGTAAGCAAGTTTTATTAATGTTATAGGCTAACTTCATTCAGAGTCGCAATTAAAATTTATTTGGAAAATTCTTGACATAGCATTATGATTTACTCATGGACTAATTTTGTGTTTTAGTATTTGATGTGGATTATCACAGAGAGATAGAATTTAGGTAAGTGGGTGTAAGGATGGAGAGAGAGAGCAACACAGAAGGAGAAGTAAAAGGATTAAGACATGTGGTATATGTACCAGCTGCTCATGGTAAATACACTCTGTATCACAAACATGTACTAATTTAAAAACAAATATCTGAAGTAGGTCATTCTTACCCAAAGTTTAGTGTACTAGCCTCACAAGAACTGTTAATACTGTGTTCCAAATAAGATTTCTTGCACAAAAGACTCACAGGTACATTTAGTATGGCTTTTCTTTCTTTAAAAGATTTTATGATTTCTGAATTATTGCTTTTACTTTAGTTAATGTCATTGTCATATACTGGATGATGTAGTCTTTGTGTTACATAGTGCAAATGACATAATTTTAAAAAGAAAGACTATGCAAGAAGACTTTTAAAAATCAACAAAACATTAATTAATGTAGCAGCAGGAGAATGAAATCAAGGACTATCAAGAAACTACTCAAAAGTAGCAAAGCCACTCCAGGTTCAACAGACAGTAAAGTGTGGTGTGAGCAAGTATTTTGTCTATATAATGGGCCATTACAAAATATAATGATACTGCCCTGATTACAATTACCAGTAAGGTTCAAAGGGTCAAATTATCCCATGAATGTTGACTGGCTATAATTATGCTGTAAAGTATTTGTGTCATTAACAAATGACCATTACAAAATGACAAAATGACTTGAAGTATAAATAATTTATGATGGAATTTAAATCGGAAGAGATATTAGATTCCTAAAATTTGTATGATTCTGCCAAAGATCATTTATTTTCTTTTTCTATGGCTAATGAGCCTCTGATTTATTGTCGGTGATCAAATATTATGTCATTTCACAGAACTTGCCTCATTTGTTTTTATATAACACAGGTAAAAGGAAAGCAAGGTTGTGAGGTAAACAAAGTCCTTATATGTTTAAATAAAGTAGAATTCCTCACATCTTCCTGTAGTGTTTTGGTTGAGACTCAGAGACATAGCATCCACATGCATGATTTTAACAAACATGTATGTTTATTATCACTGAGAATATTTGCTCTGAACTCATTTCTGTTCTCAGCAGGCTAACTTTCTGGTGACTTGATACATTTTGGCAGCTGAGTGTGACTTTTCTAAAGTATTTGATGCTGTTATGCGGAGCATCATCTTGTGCTATGTTTTATGTTATTTAAGAACTAGATACATTGTGATATTTATTTCCAGAAAGTATCTAATTACCTCATGTTATCATATTTATGACTAGAAATATAAATTTCTGGGTAATAGCACATCATTACAACCCATTTTCACAAGAAAGATAAGTTTTAATTTTCTCTCAGATTAAAATAAATTTTAGCTGGGTGTGGTGGTGCCCACCTGTAATCCCAGCACCTGGAAGGCTGAGACAGGAGGATCACCATGACTTTGAAGCCAGCCTGGACTACATAGTGAGACCTTATGTCAATAAATAAGCAAATAAACAAATAAATAAACTTCAAAAATAATTGTTTTAATTCTCATGATATAATATTAGAATTAGGCTATTGAATAAAGTAACTTATAAATTGACAAATGAGCTCTGTTTTTGAAAAAAAAAGTGCTACAAGTTATAATGAAACTATTGAAATAAAGGTAAGACAAAGTGCAGAAAAATTTAACTCATTAAATAAATAAATTACATCATATATGCAGCTCTAAAAGGACTAGTATTAGAATTCTCAGTCTTTGATATTCATTCTGCTGTTTAATTTATGGACGAAGAATAGCTCTCAGACTTACAGATGACAATGCTGTAGATTCCACGTAGGCAGTTATCAGTATCCTATTACGGCAGTTATAGAATTATTTTTATGAGTAGCTTCATTCTTACTTAAATTTTTATTTGTAAAGTCATAATAGGAAATGCTGTCAAGTCTCCAAACAAAATGTCATACTTATGAGTTATATAACACAAGATGATGTTTGATGAATCATACCTTCTAACTTTAATACTTATATCATTGTCCTTAAAGATCTAAAGTTTAGCTGATTTCTGGATTTAAAGTTCTGTGCAACTCCTGCTGACAACTATTATTATTATACTCAGCTGAAAATTGTTCTGATTTACTTAGTGTATATAAGATGTGAACCATACTTAATCTTAAATTCAATTATAAAATTTACATGTGCTTTCCATTAACTAAATACTTTGTTTGATGATACATAGTGCATTTTTAGAATTCAAAGATTGTCTCAGTTTCTACCTAATTATCTAAGTTACTCTAAACTACTAGAAACACAGAAGTAGATGGCCAATAGCAATCAGTTGGCCATTTATATGCTATTCAAACTCAGAGTTGAAAAGAAACATGGAGGCCATGTCCCCTGACAAAGACAAACAGAAACTGAGCCTCTCAATTTTAGATTTCATATATATTTTGATAAAGTTGAAGTCTTATGAAAAAAGGTGAACTGAGTAAAATGTAATGATTATCTACATAGGGCAGTTAATGATAAATTTGAGCATTATAATTGATGAAAATATCTGATGCTGTACTAAAATTGGAAAATTAGAAACTGCTCAAAACACATTGAGTCTGTTCATACGTAGCAAAAAAAGCAAGTTATTGTTGTACATCCTTAGTTATCTACTTATACAGATTACCTGTTGTATTATATATACTGGCTAAGACTGCATAGTTTCTGGTTCTTTATTTATTTATTTATTTTTTGTCTTTTTCCTTTTTATCGGTACCGGGGATCAAACTCACGACTGCCTGCTTGCAAGGCAGGCACTTATGCCGCTGAGCTAAATCCCCAGCCCCCAGTTTCTGGTTCTTTAACTTTACTTATATAGTAGCTAGCTAGTATGAAGATGGAATTCATGTAAAAATATAATGGTGAAAATTATGAATAATTTATCTTAATTTCTAAATAATTACGCTTATTTATTAACCTATAAAATGAACTAAACGAATGAGTAATGCGTAAATAAATAGCGGTAAAAAGAAGGATTAAAACCAATTCCTTGGGGGCTGGGGATTTAGCTCAGCAGCATAAGCGCCTGCCTTGCGAGCAGGCAGTCGTGAGTTCGATCCCTGGTACCGATAAAAACGAAAAAGACAAAAAAAAAAAAAAAAAAAAAACCAATTCCTTGAGCCAGGGATTTAGCTCAGTGGTGTAAGTGCCTCCTGACAAGTGTGAGGTCGATCTCCATATCAAAAAACAAACAAACAAGCAGAACGGAAAAAAAATCCATGTACTCCCAATGTTTTATGGAATAAAAGTTCAAAACAATATGCATTGCAATCAGGCATAGTCTCTCCCTCTCTCTCTCTGTCTTTGTTTTTGTCTCTCAATTTCTGTCTCATACAGTCCCATGTGCACCACGTGTGCACACACACATACCTGTAATCCTTTTCAATACAGAAAATACTAAAGTGTTTTCTCTTAGGTACTTTGTGCATTGGGATAATAGTAGCATTCTGCGTAGTGCCACCAGGTGGAATGCTATTATGCTTTGGAATCACCTGGAGATACTATCTAACTTCTAGTAGTGAATAATTCCCTTGATCTGTAGTAAAGTCTTTATCTTTCTCCAGAGATTACATTAGTGATTCAAATTAACCAACTACAAGTACTTTTAATTCCCTATAAGCATTTTTAATTCCTTTTGGAGAAACCGAAACATGATGGATGAAGATCTTCGGGGTTATGAAACTACTTAAAAGAAGAGTACAAAGTAGAAAAGCAAAGACCCCCAGAAGACGCGACGATTCTCTTGGTCCATTTTTTTAGGTCTTTCTACTGGCAAGTTTCCAAGTGCTTGCACAGCATAATGTTTACTGCCAAATTTCAAGTTTGATAACTGATGTGATTTTCTCTCTCTGTCTCTTGGCCTTCATTCTCTTTCTTTGCTCCTTTCCTCTTTATTTCATTTTGCCTTTCTCTGCTCTTTTTGCCACCACATTTTGTTTTTCTTCATTTTGGGATAAAATTAGATAATTTTCTAGTAGTTTTAAAACAGCAACACATAAATATAACCTAAAAACTCAAACTATAAACCACAAACAGTGCACAAACCCCAAGGAAGACTCATGTCTCCTGGACAAGCCTGTTATGTGACCAGTGTCCTGCACAGACCATTAAATCTACAAAAAGATCTAAGTTACCTTACACGCTAGTGAAGGACTATTTCGTTTTGACTATAGGAAATTTTAGTCAATATAAATGTCTGCCAGCATGCTATAAAGTTGGCAGACAGATTCTTTTGCATCAGTTTCTAAGAAAACATTTTCTAATACCATCATGTAGGTTCTCTTCAGGAATTTCCTAAATAATTTACAAATGACAATATAACCATCTGTAGCTATCAGTTTGAAAGCTGAATATAATAGACTTAAGAAAATTGTTTAAGACCATTAATGAACTATCTGTAGCATTAATTTATTTCTGCAAAGAACACATGGCAAGATATCACTAAAAGGAATTTCTTTAGTTATCACTAAAAGGAATTTCCTCTAAAACTTTTTCTTTCTTACTTTCTTTTTTGAAGCAGGGTTTCACTATGCAATTTAGGCTCTCCTTGAGCTCACTTTGTAGCCCATGCTGATCTCCAGCTCGCAGTGATCCTTCTGCCTCAGCCTCCTGAGTACTGGGATTGCAAATATGTACCACCAAACCCAACTTCTTCTAAGACTTTTAAATGTGATTCAAAGTGGTATTATGGTTTTGGTGGGTTTTCACACAATAATATGGCAATTTTCCATAAACTGTTAAAGGATTTTCAAGTCCATAAGATTTAAAAGTCATCTCTTACAATCTTTCCTTTTCTTAGTGGACTGACACATATGCCTGCTTGCTTGCTTGCTTCTTTCTTTCTTCCTTTCTTTCTTTCTTTCTTTTTCTTTCATTGCCTACATTATTTCCCTTGTTATTTTATTTGTATGTTACTTGAGCTTTTTATAATTCTTAGAGCTTTTTACATAATTCTTTTAAAGAATATCACTATGGAGGAGATAAGGCCATGCAAGGATTGCTTGCCTAAATTATTTGCAAGAGAATACGAAGACAGTGATGTTGATCTTGGGTCCCAGATGTCTCCCTGTGGTGCTTACATGTCTGTGGCCACAACATTTTCCACATTCCCCAAGCAGTCAGGGTGTTCTGAGACCTTTGCTCTAGATGAAGGAACAGAGAGTGCCTTAGGCTACATTACGTAGCTTTACAGGCATTATCTACCTGGAATCTCTATTTCCTAAACATGTTTTTTTTCTGCTTGGAATTTCTTCATATTCTGAGAAAGTGTCTAAGAACTTTCACCAATTTCGAGGATAGCCTCATTATGAATCAAGGACAATTTTTAAATTTTCCTTGAATGCAGAGGAGTAGACCATTCTTGTTAGTACATTTAGCTGTGAGAATGTGAGATACTGTTTTTTCAGAGAACTGCAGCTTTTACATTGCTTCCCTCATTCAAGAAAATAGGAAAATCTGAGGATGAAGATCCATCAAAGCTTTGATGGTACTTACTTAGTTGCTAGGATCATCTTTTTCCTTGCTGTCTGTTCCTTCTGTTCCATGTGTTGTCTGGCGAGGTGTTCTCCTACTGCTTTGGCTGGAAACTCTGTTTCACATGTGTAGCCAAAGTCCCGAGCCAAGTGCAAAGCCTCTCCTATGAACAGAAAACACAAGTCAGTTTTTTTCCCCAATGTCAACCTTATAATGATAATAACTTTCTCTCTAGGGTCATTCCTGGTTGTGGATGGAAGGATTGTTTTTCCTATTTTTTCCTAAATAACTCAAGGAAAAGACCTTTTTGGGTCAGTGAAGAAAAAGGAGAAAAAGCTGAGAAATAGAGCTAGGTATGCTATTTCACTTTCCCATGATTCTCGGGTCACTAGACAAGATCCAATTGCAATACAGTGAACATTAATTCCCACAGAACAGAGCTCCACAGACATATCATTTTATTGCTGCTCAACCTACAACCTACTGAGCTCTGTATTCCTGGACTATTTTGTTGACTTTCAAAGACACTGATTGTAATGCTTAGCAAGAGGTCCAAATAACTTTAGCAGTTGGAGCACTATGGAAAGTAAATTAAATGAATTAAATTAATTTCACGGCACTATCTTGTTATAGTATATTATGTAATTATAAAATTAAGATCATCAGACCTTCCAAACACTCAATGAATTATAGAACTATGTACGATGGTTTAGTATAATAAAGCAAAAACATATTTGTTTTACAAAATATTTTATTTCACAAATTCTTAAATCCAAATACATTTTTTAAGAAATGAGGTAAAAATGTCTTATCAAGAAAATAAGATTGCATAAAGGAAATTAATTTTAAAAATCAACTGTTAAGTATTGTTAAAGCTTAATCAAGCTACATGGGGTGGTATATGCCTATGATCCCATTAACTCAGGAGGCCGAGGCAGGAGGTTCATATCTTGGGCAAATTAGTGAGACCTTATTTCAAAAATTTTTTTTTTAAATGTAGAAAGGACTAGTAATCTATCTTACTGGTAGAGCACTCCTAAACTTGGTCTCCAACATTGCAAAAAAGAAAAAAGAAAATCTTTTCACTGTATACATACATACTAAGCATCGGCTTTGTTCAAGACACTGTGCTAAGTAAGAGTAACAGCCAGAACAATGTAGCCACAGCGATTTCTAGGGAGATGACAGGATTGTAATAATAATGGAATGTGAATAACACTTTATATTTTCATGATATATATATATATATATATATATATATATATATATAAAATCTCCATTAAATATAATCTGTACATGTTTATTTATATCATAGGCCCAATATATATGGGATAGGATATATTACAGTATCAAATGTGTGTTAAAATATTTTTCAAATGTCCAAAGGAGGATTAAGTGATAAAGATGGGTAAGTAATTCAACAGTCACATGGTTAATCAAATTTCCATAAAGAAGCAGAAAGTCATCAGGCCTGATGACAAAGTCACTGGAAGTTTGCTTATGACTGGCCTATAGCATTCTGAAAAGTGATGGGACTTGATCTCATTTCACACACAGAGAAGAACAGGGTAGCCAATTAAAACCATCAGAAATAGGTAAAAATAGCTCATAGCATCAGAGAGGAGGAGCAAACAGAGGTGTACAAAATAAATATAAAAATAGGCTAATTGATAGTAATAAATATATCCTTAATGTAGATATTATCTTCTTCTAGAAAAGGGATTATTCATCTTTCAGATTAGAAAAGTCATATTTACAAAAAGCTTAATATCTATAGAAAACAGGAAGATTTTTAGGGTGTTATAAAGCTTAGAAAACACAATCCTGAGAGTACTTTTCCTCTTAACTTACTTTGGCTTTCCTATATGAAAAAATTTAAGGGACAAAACATATAAATTAGTTCTTAAGAATTTTTCCAAGTATATTTTTATGAAAAAGTTCAAACATAGATGTGGAAAGAATTTTATAGGAGTGAACACTCACATGTTCATCCTCAATATTATAGTAGTCTTGCTTTATCACATACCCCGCTTTCTGTCTATCCATCACCAATCTTCATTACATTTCAGAGGAAATTGCAAATCTCAGTACGTGTTTCCTCAAAAACTTCAGCATGCATATCAGCAACTGGAACTAAATACTCATTTGTAGTCTTTTTCCCTAAAACTTTTAACTTGCAATATTTTTCCTGACATATTTAGAAAGAAGAAACAAGATTAAGAACACTAATGATGGAGAGTATTGCATTTTTTTTTTCTGTGCTGAGAATGAAATCCAGGGCTTTAGGTATGCTAGAAACATGTTCTACTGATACATCCTGCTCAGCCCTGGTTGAATGATTTATGGCTAATGACTAAGTAAGAGTGATTATAGCCTTTGTCTTTGTTAACAGGAAAGAACATCTAGATGTTGAGGTGAACTGCTGTAACACATGTGCAGATATTAATTAACATCTTGATTTGAATTTTCACTGTGTAAAAATGTTAACCATCCAATCACAATTAGGCTCTTACATTTATACAAGTACTATATGCTAAACTTTTGTTACTAGCAGATAGTAATGTTGCCATTATTTTTTTATTCACTTACTCATGCTATAGCCCTGTTTTTTTTTTATTCTCACAGTGTAAGGGCCCTTATTCCAGGCTTTTGCAAAAGTCTAATTGAATATAAAACAGTCCAGCAAGGTAATCAATTAGTGTAGATGTTATTGTGTGGGTTAAAGTACTTCTATATACACATTTCAAACAAGCAACATTAGGTCTTTAGTTGAAATTTTGGCATACCTGTAGAACCTGTTTTTCTTTTCCTTTATTTTTGTTAGAGGTGAAATGACATGACTACACACAAGAGATCTTTATATTAATTAGTGTGAATACTGCTAGTTTAATGAAAGATCACAATTCTGGGTAAAGTTGTAACATCCAACCAATATTTTAAAGTATTTATTGGGGGCTGAGTGATAGAATTCTTGTCTGGCATGCAAAAGGCCCTAGGTTCAATAAATAAATCATTATTTCCAGCAGTTTGGCAACCTAATCAATTAGGAAAGAACACATATGCGTAGTCTGAAGAAAACTGGAACAAAAATTTGTTTTAAAAAGACATTGTACTGTTTAAAATAAAATACCAAAAAGACATTGTAATGCCCAATAGGATGCTCATACAAATGGTAAAGAGAGCCCTTTTGAAACATTTTTAATTTGGAAGTAAAAATGTCAATGCTTGATCCATGAAATAACTAGGGCATAACTCACATGGATCTTGGGACTCAGGAGTATTCTGAAACTAACGCAGTAACACTATCAGTAGTGTCATCTTTATACATAGCTGTACATTGCATTGCTCACATTAATAGGTTTAGATACCATTTTAACAGAGACTATTACAGATATAAACAGTGCAAACAGGAGGGTGGCAGTACGCTTGAATTTTTTGCTAAAACCTGATTCTTGAGGATCTGTCCCATTTTATGCAAAGCTCTCACCGTGTGGTAGTTTTAAATAGTTTAGTAGAACATCTGCTATTTACATTTACACTGACAGCTAGATCCTTCCTTCCCTTAGTTCTGTTTACTGCTTTCTACTGCTTGCAGGGTAACATTGTTACAGGATGTATAGCAATGTGACATCAAAAGAAGTGGCAAGTGAAGACACTCTGATACGTAGTTAAAATGTGTATATGATGCCAAAACTTTTTGTGTAAGGACCCAACAATGAATGAATAGATCCACGTATTAAAATGCTTATGATATTCAGAAACAATGAAAAATCTAAATTTAAATTCTTAATAGCAGATGTCTTAAAGAGTAATTTTGTGAAACATGCAAATTTTAGGATCGGAAAAGTATATGAATGAATCTCTAGGGGATATGACTAATTTTTTTAAAGTAAAGACCTATAAGGTTCTCTCTGTCTTTGAGGCGGGACCCTGTGGTCCTATAATGACCATGCAGTAACCTGTGGCAGACAGGGCATTCCAGGAAGGCCACTTCCCTTCTAGCCCCCAAAGTGGCCTCAGTTACCCACTGAAGTTACCACATTCCTGTGAGAGGTGGGGCAGCATGACCTAGTTCTTTTGTTCAGGGTAGCCTTAGGCTTTGCTTTATTTCAAAGTATTCTGCCACTTGGCCATTCATCCATTTTCTAAAAAGCAATAAAATTAACCTTATTTCATATCATTTAAAGAATTATACATTTTTGGGGGCTGGGGATGTAGCTCAGCGGCATAAGCACCTGCCTTGCAAGCAGGTGGTCGTGAGTTCGATCCCCAGTACCGATAAAAAGAAAAAAAAAGTATATAAAAAAAGAATTATACATTTTAGAAGTAAAATCCATGGGTGTAAACTTAGTAATGCAACATCCAATGTCATTAAATAAAAAACTGATTCATATTTTAAATTCCAATCATATATCCATGATACCAGTTTTTTACTTTCATGCATGGGGGTAAAGCACATTCAAATATAAGGGATTATTTCAAGAATTATCCACTGGAGACCAAATTTAAGCGTAATTTAAAACCTGGACAAGACAGTATAATTAAGGTCAGGCATAGTGGTGCCTGCGATAATCCTAATTATGAAGGGGTCTTGGGCAGGAGGATCACAATTTGAGACCAGATGGAGCAATCTATTGAGACTGTCTCAAAATGAAATTTTGAAAAAGGGTGAAATGCAGCTCAGGAATTCCTGGGTTCAATATCAGATACCGTTAAAAAAAATAAAAACAAAAAAACTGGGCCAAGGATTTAGCTCAGTGGCATAAACACCTGCCTAGCAAGTGCAAGGTCATGAGTTCGATCCCCAGTACTAAAAAAACAAAAATAAAATAACAAAACAAAATAAAAGCCTATAAATCATGTTAAATTGTCTTTTTTTTTTATGGGTACTGGGGATCAAACTCAGGATCACGCGCTTTGCAAGGCAGGTGCTGCAGCAATCCCCAGACTCATGTTAAAGTCTTATAAAGTAAAAAAAAAAAAAAAAAAAAAAAAAAAAAAAAAAAAAGTACAATTACAGTAAACCCTAAAGCTAAGGACAAAGCTTTTAGGTCTGTTACAAGTTTTCTAAACTACTGTGAAAGACCTTTACACTATAACGGTGTATCTCCTTTGATTCAAGACATAGATACAGATCTTAAAATCTAAACACTTATCTAACTT